ACACACCCTTCTTTCCTTTGCACGCAGTATATAAGTCGGAACGGCCCGGATCGGCCGACTATATCCTATAGCTGCCATATAACTGATTGATCGGAAATGGTATAACTTTGGTGTTTTTAGAGTTAGAGAGTTCAAATTTGACATGTGAGCTATTTTTGGCAAAACATTACGTCATGCCAAATTTCATAAGGATCGGCCGACTATATCCTAAAGCTGCCATATAACTGAACGATCGGAAATGACCCAACTTTCGTGTTTTTGAAGATAGAAAGCTGGAACTTAGTACAGATTTAATTCTTGGTCAGTTGATCCAACCTACCAAATTTCATTAGGATCGGCCGACTATATCCCATAGCTGCCATATAACTGAACGATCGGAAATGGTATTTGGTAGAAATATCAACTTTCGTATTTTTGAAGATAGAAGTTTGGGACTTTTTTTAGATTTTGTATTGTAATAAATTGGATTATATATTCCTATTCCCATAAGGATCGGCCAACTATATCCGATGTTTGCGATATATATCCGGTTTTAACTGCAAGGGTATATAAACTTCGGCTCCGCCCGAAGTTAGCTTTCCTTTCTTGTTTTTTTTATATCTATATCAGTGGTCGGCACGGCCCTATCCCGAGGGCATAGGAAATTTCACCGCCCGAGCTCGGCCACATAGAGCTCGGCCACCGAGCTCTAAATATGTGAAACGTCATGCTCACAGCCTACTTTCTGCTATTCGTTACTAACACTAATGCGTTAAAATCAAATCAATGTATTGGGTGGCCGACCCCTTATCTATATATATATAAAAAATTCGTGTTATGTTACACCACTTATAAATTAAGAACGGCAGAACAGATTTGAGTGAAAATTGGAAGTCACAATCGAAAGAGGCACGAAATGAACGTAATCAACAAAGACAACTGCGAAGAACAGAAGCGCTCAGATTCATAGTTATAAGTAGAAATGAAAGTAATTAAAAAGTAAAGTAATTAGTGGTACTTTGAAAAAAGAATGCCTGCATTGTCATGCACTCAAATTTAAAAATGAGCCTGTTGGAATGTGTTGCTCACCAGGAAAAGTATAACTACCCGTAATTGAAACACCACCGATACTGTAGAAATGGCAGGCAACAAAAAAATATATACATTATGCTCGCAGATGCGGAAGGACAGAAACTTTGCAGAAACTTTAATATATGGAGACAGAACAGTTCATTCAGCATTTAAGGATGTAGTCTCATGTGTGAGGTTGAAAAAATCGCATATTTCGAAAGTACTGTTTATTAAGAATGTACTGTTAAAGTTTCAAATAAAACAAGAAAGGAAAGCTAGCTTCGGGCGGAGCCGAAGTTTATATACCCTTGCAGTTAAAACCGGATATATATCGCAAACATCGGATATAGTTGGCCGATCCTTATGGGAATATGAATATATAATCCAATTTATTACAATACAACATCTAAAAAAAAGTCTCCAGCTTCTATCTTCAAAAATACCAAAGTTGGTATTTCTACCAAAAACCATTTCCGATCGTTCAGTTATATGGCAGCTATAAGATATAGTCGGCCGATCGTTATGAAATTTGGTAGGTCGGATTAACTGACCAAGAATATAATCTGTACTTTCTATCTTCAAAAACACGAAAGTTGGGTCAATTCCGATCGTTCAGTTATATGGCAGCTATAGGATATAGTCGGCCGATCCTTACGAAATTTGGCATGTCGTATTAGTCTGACAAAAATAGCGCTCTTGTAAAATTGGCTCTCTCTAACTTCAAAAACACTAAAGTTATACCATTTCCGATCAATCAGTTATATGGCAGCTATAGGATATAGTCGGCCTTTCGTTATGAAATTTGGTAGGTTGGATCAACTGAAAAATATATATCAGCAAACAAAAATAGAATCTGTACTAAGTTCCAGCTTTCTATCTTCAAAAACACGAAAGTTATACCATTTCCGATCAATCAGTTATATGGCAGCTATAGGATATAGTCGGCCGATCCGGGCCGTTCCGACTTATATACTGCGTGCAAAGGAAAGAAGGGTGTGTGCAAAGTTTCAAGACGATAGCTTTAAAACTGAGAGACTAGTTCGCGTAGAAACAGACAGACAGACAGACGGACAGACGGAAATGCTCATATCAACTCAGGAGGTGATCCTGATCAAGAATATATATACTTTATACGGTCGGAGATGTCTCCTTCACTGCGTTGCACACTTTTGGACAAAATTATAATACCCTCTGCAAGGGTATAATGACAGTATGGCCAACTCTTGATGTAGGGGGCGGCCATAGGCGTGGTCAAATTTCCAAAACAATAAAATTCGAAATTTGAAAAAAATAGTTCAAGCATATATGCAAAATTTTAGCCCAGTATATCTAAAATTGGAGTTTATGCAAAAAAAAAACGGCGTTTCCGCATGAAGTGGGCGTGGTAAAATTTAAAAAACAAAAAAAATCGAAATTCGACAAAAATAGTTTAAGCGTATGTGCAAAATTCGAGGCCAGTATCTCTAAACTGGTTTCTGCCAAAAAAACGGCGTTTCGGCCCATAGTGCACTGGTCGATAGGAATGGATTTTAGTTATTATGTAACTATGTAATTACAAAAATAATGTTGCATAACCTTAGAGTCTACTTGAATTTGACTTAAATTGGCGCAAAAATAAAGCTTATATACGTGCCAAAATTAAAAATATACCAATAATATGAAATTATTTAGCTGCAAAAAAAATTTCAAGCTGATGTCTCTATTCGAATTATGTTTGGTCGTCTTCTCCATACAAGACCGCCCACTGTGGAAAGCTTTAGTCATTTCTGGCATGTTAAAAACAAATTTTTTTCCACACAAGAAGCTTCATAATTTAAAAATTGCTTTAAGACCATGAAAGCTAAATACCTTTCGGGTATAACGAAAAAATTTGAACTCAATATAATTACTCGCGCTCTTATCACACTAATGAAAAGTTCACATTTAGTGAAAATACATAGGTGTCCGGATTTTATTTTCCGATACTGTACGTACCATTTCCCCAAAAAACGGGTTAGAATTTTTGAAAATCTCGTGTTCGCGCCAGTTCATGTTTTTGGAAAATGTTTTGATGCCAAACTGTTCCAATGCCTAATTTACATTTTTAAATAAAATGTTTTGATGCCAAACTGTTCCAATGCCTAATTTACATCTTCAAATAAATCAGCCAAATCGGATAATTTTTAGAGTTCAAGATTTTTTAGAATGCTTCCCTACTGAATCTGTAGAACGGCCGTAGCACTATAGGAAATGGGACCACATTTTCTGACCAAAATTAATATTTCAAGAACGGAACAAGATAATTAAGTTCTGATTTTTGATTTGAGTTCACATGGTCAATAGATTTTAAATTGGGCGTGGCACCGCCCACTGTTTAAGAAGAACATTTAAAATAATGTATAAAATATAATAAAATAACGCCCTTTTTTTAAAATAGCATGCTAACTCAAAAACTAAGTAAGATATTTCAATTTATTTTTTTTTAGGTGTGTTATTTTGTTTTTATACCCTTGCAGAGGGTATTATAATTTTGGTCAAAAGTGTGCAACGCAGTGAAGGAGACATCTCCGACCCTATAAAGTATATATATTCTTGATCAGGATCACCTCCTGAGTTGATATGAGCATGTCCGTTTGTCTGCCCGTCTGTCTGTTTCTACGCAAATATATGTTTTCGATATATATCCGGTTTTAACTGCAAGGGTATATAAATTTCAGCTCCGCCCGAAGTTAACTTTCCTTTCTTGTTTTTTTTTCAATTAAAAATCTTAGTTTAAATCTCTTTTTACTTAGTTTAAATCGACTTAGTTTAAATCCCTTTTTAAAAATGAGATTTTATTCTAAAAATTTGTTTGCTAGACTACTTAAATTTTTACTTTTAAAGACAACACAGACACATGTAATGTAATGAGAACACGAAATAGTTTTATTATTGATTTTACATACCTTCATAACAATTCATTGCAAGTTTCAGGATTGCAATGTATCAGCTGGTTAAATGACCGCGCTAAATTAACAGGGTTGCAATAAAGCTCAAAAAAATTTATAATTATATTTATTTGGAATGTCTGTTCATCAAAATTTTGTGCACATTCAAAAAATAGTTTCATAATTTTTTCGATTTTATGCCGCACTGGGACCATAGTGCAGTGGTCGGCACGGCCCTATTTTTATACTTGTCTATACTTATAATTTTGTCCAAAAGTGTGCAACGCAGTGAAGGAGACGCAGTGACCCTATAAAGTATATATATTCTTGATCAGGATCACCTCCTGAGTTTATATGAGCTTGTCCGTCTGTCCGTCCGTCCGTCTGTCTGTTTCTACGCGAACTAGTCTCCCAGTTTTAAAGCTATCATCTTGAAACTTTGCACACACCCTTCTTTCCTTTGCACGCAGTATATAAGTCGGAACGGCCCGGATCGGCCGACTATATCCTATAGCTGCCATATAACTGATTGATCGGAAATGGTATAACTTTCGTGTTTTTGAAGATAGAAAGCTGAAACTTAGTACAGATTCTATTTTTGTTTGCTGATATATATTTTTCAGTTGATCCAACCTACCAAATTTCATTAGGATCGGCCGACTATATCTTATAACTGCCATATAACTGAACGATCCGAAATGGTATTTGGTAAATATACCAACTTAGGTATTTTTGAAGATACAAGCTTGGGAATTTTTTTTATATTTTGTTTTGTATTTTTTAGAATTTGTAATTATTACAATACAAAATTGTAATTTTTTTTAGATTTTGTATTGTAATAAATTTGTTTTATTATGATATTTTCATAAGGATCGGCTAACTGTATTCGATGTTTGCGGTATATATATCCGGTTTTAACTGCAAGGGTATATCAACTTCGGCTCCGCTCGAAGTTAGTTTTCTTTTCTTGTTTTGAATATGCAAACTTTTTGTAAATGTGTAAGACTTTTGACTTACTATTCAAATTTTTCTAAAATTTAATAGGAAGATGACGAAGATGACATTGAGAGTAACTTTGAGTACGACAACAGTTTCCTGAGCGACGACTACAAAAATGTCGTGGATAAATTGGATAAAGTCCTACTTAGCCAAGTTAAATCTAAAAACACTTTATCCAATAATCAACCTGTGCCCCACTCAAAATGTCTAGACTTAGAAAAAAAAAAAAATGCTGATGAAAATATCAAGTTTTCAAATAACTCAAGACCTGTTTCAAACAAAAAAAAATATTTTAATCGATCTACAAATAAAAATCAAGGAAATCTTTCATATGAATACGATGAAAATGAGCATATATATGAAACCATTCCAGAGGATTTTGAATCTGAACCTCTTTATTGTTCACCTTATCAAAGTTCGAACTACATGATGGCAGTGGGTTCTTGCTCACCTGCAACAATAACGGCACCGATCGAAATAGAAACAGATGTTTTGAAAACAGCAATGCAACAACAAACTCAACGTGTCGCCCAATGGCTGGGCTTAAAATCGCAATGTTCTAAGCCTATACAAAATGTTGATCAACCAAAAGCAACAACATCAGGTCAGCTTCCCGAATGCAATCGTATTTTCACATTACGGAGCACAATGACTTGTACAAGTCGATCAAGCAGTAGTGGAGTCGTATATAGCTTAAATCGCCCAAGTAATATTCCTTACGAAAAAGTTGATAATTGCTTAAGCGCTTACAGCACTTCAGACTCATACAATCGTGCGCCGCCTTACATAAACACATTGAATGCTGTTGATGAAACCATCTTGAACTCTAAACTCGATGATATTGATCATGCCGTCGACTCTGCAGTTTCCCAAAGTGCGGCTTTTCTTACATCTCCTTTAAGTAGTATGTTACTTTTACCGTTTGGAAAATCAGGACGCATTGGGCTTTGTTCTGCTAACTTGGACACAGCTTATATCACCGGTATGTCAAAAATTTAAACATAGATGTGATAATCTTAAAAGTTTTTCCATATATGGGTGTCTTTTAATTTTGTTAGTGCCTAATTCCGTACATAAAAATTTTTAATATATCATTGCAGAGGATATAATAATTTCAGTCAAAAGAGTGCAACGCAGTAAAGGAGACATCTCCGACCCTATAAAGTATATATATTCTTATCAGTATCACCCCCTGAGTTGATATAAGCATTTCCGTCTGTCTGTCTGTCCGTCTGTCTGTTTCTACGCAAACTAGTCTCTCAGTTTAAAAGCTATCGTTTTAAAACTTTGCACACACCCTTCTTTCCTTTGCACGCAGTATATAAGTCGGAACGACCCGGATCGGCCGACTATATCCTATAGCTGCCATATAACTGATCGATCGGAAATGGTATAACTTTGGTGTTTTTAGAGTTAGAAAGTTCAAATTGTACAAGAGAGCTATTTTTGGCAAAATAATACGACATGCCAAACTTCGACTTCGAACGATCGGAAATGACCCAACTATCATGTTTTTAAAGATAGAAGTCTGTAACTTGGTACAGATTATACTTTTAGTCAGTTGATCCGACCTACCAAATACCATAAGGATCGGCCTACTATATCCTATAGCTGATAATTGCTTAAACCTATTTTAACCATATAACTGAACATTCGGAAATGGATTTTGGAAGAAATACCAATTTTAGTATTTTTGAAGATAGAAGTGTGGTTCTTTCTTTTAGATTTTATATTATAATAAATTGGGTTATATTATCATACTCCCATAAGGATCGGCCAACTATAAGGCGTTATATCTCCGGTTTTAACTGCAAGGGTATATCAACTACGGATCCGCCCAAAGTTAGCTTTCTTTTCTTGTTATTCTTACAATTATTCTTAAAATTGGTTTCAATCATGCGATATCATTGATAACACAGTGCGACAGTGATTTGAAACTTTTGAAGAGACCTAGTAGGAATTGTTCATTAGGTTGAATATAGTATAAAATCGTGTTTGAAATTTTTCTGACACCCTCAAAATCTTGATTTATTTTAGAAAAAACGTTTTTCGGGACTTTTTTGCTCTTAAAAATTCCTAAACTCGTAATTTTTAAAATTTTTGACGTTTTTTAATAGTTAAATGTTGTAGCTTTTGAAAAGAAAATAGATCTTGAATTTATTTCAACAAAAAGGATCAAATTCGTACGCACAAAACTGACATTTTGGATTTTTTGTCGTGTTTTTCGGACAGTGACGCCATTTTTTCGGTACAACTTCCAAGAAATGGTATCATTTTTGACACATATCAATATTGTCTCGTTAATTTTAAATAAAACAAGACCAATTTCATTAGGAAATTATAAAAAATGGTCAAGTTATAACGATTTTGGACAAGTCAGTCCAATCTTGCTAGCGTTCCGGAGTAATAGTGTGCCCTTCCATTTCGCTTATTCCTTTCTTTTACACATTTTTACACACTCCGGATTACACACTCCGGAGCGCTAGTAAAATTGCACTGACAGGGATATTTTCCTGCTCTCTGGCAATTAAATATTCCATAACATTTCGAGAAGTTATGGGATTCATCGAAAGCGCGTTATAAATTGGATTCAATATTTTTCGAACCCTTCGCTATCCAGAAATAAAAAAGGCTTTCCATCGGTGGTCACAAACTTTAGAATTGAAGACACGATTGTTGCTTCACTGGTTTCACATGAAATTTTCCTTTTTTTTTATATTTTGTTGCGCTATGTCGTCGTCAATCTCAAAATCATTATAAATTCCAGCACGTTTTGCAATTAAATGGCGTTTCAAATTTGTTATGTGAGAGCTTGCTAACTTCACACCGCAAACATTGCACTTAGACTTATTGTCTTCTGCATTAAATTGAAAAAAAATTGAACTTTTTTATTGTGATCGCGACCCATCTTGACACAAGAATTAATACACTCCAAACGCACCAAATCCACCAAAGCAAGTGTGATTTGCAACATGTAAATTACAAGTCATTCGCATATACATACACTCGTACAAAGGCAAAAGACTTTTATTTTCTTCGCTCGTTGCAAAATGGTCAGCGAATGACCAGAGCAAAAAGGACACGCAAAATTTGTTTTTGGTTGAGCACAGACCGTTCGTTCAGGAAACACAGGTGAAAGGTTCTTGTGTGACCTTTTCCGCACCTGGTGTGTTTTTTGGTGACTACAAGAAACGGTCAACTGTTATTTGCGAGCTCTGCTTTCAACTCCCATTTTGCCGCTTTTATTTTATTGAAAAACTGCTTAATAATTCTTCAAGTTTTGTGAATTTATTAAACTATTATTTATTTTCATTCGCTGAAAATACTCTAAAAGTATAAAAAGTTCTAAAGAGCTTTAATTCTTTTATTTTCTTCGCTCGTTGCAAATTGGTCAGCGAATGACCAGAGCAAAAAGGACACACAAAATTTGTTTTTGGTTGAGCACAGACCGTTCGTTCAGGAGACACAGGTAAACGGTTCTAGTGTGACCTTTTGCGAACCTGGTGTCAAAACGGTCAACTGTTATTTGAACAATTCCTACTAGGTCTCTTCAAAAGTTCCTCAAATTTTTTTATTTTTTTGTCGCACTGTGTAATTATTGATGCCTAGTTCCTAACGAGATGCTATCTTAATATTGTAGATCGCTTTCTTTTGGCAATAAACTTGAAGAGCCGTTTCTTACAGGCCTCTTATGTGGCCTGTCTTTCCAAAACATGTGGTAATCGCTAGTTGGGAAGTCCAGTGGATGCAAAAAACCTCTCATCCGAGCTCACAGAGCTTCTGGCGCGTCACCAAAGATGTCAGTGGTCTGGCGTTGTCTGGATTTATTTATTTATTTATTATTAACAATGATCTGTTATTTCTATATTATTATAACTAAGAGTAAGGATAAGGATAAGAGTAAGGATAAATTAAGTTAAATGATATTCCATAATTTTGGATTTAATTACATCTAGGGATAGTTCAGGGGACAATAAATGGGACAATGAGTTATATTTTTTACAAATAACACGGAATGGATGGTGTTCCGCAAAATTAGACCTAGAAATCGGTAACCAAAGGGGTCGGAAGGATATAGTTACTCTATTAGGCACAGAAAACATTAATTTTTCAAGAAGTACTTGTGAGTCAACCTGTTCAAGAATAAGCACATGAAGTAGCATAACCCCAGCACAAGTACGGCGCTCTTTTAAAGGAGGTAGGTTTAGTAGTTTTAACCGGCAATTATACGACGGGAGGGAAGTGGCAGTATCCCAGTTTAACCTTTTTAACTCAAATAGCAAAAACTGCTTTTGAACTGATTCCATCCTCCTTTGTTGAACAAAGTATTGCGGACTCCAAACGCTTGAACAGTATTCCAAGATAGGACGAACCAACGATACGTATAGAGTTTTAGTTGTGAAAGGATCATCAAATTCTTTAGACCAACATTTGATAAAAGCTAGCACACCTCTGGTTTTATTAACTGTTAGTGATATGTGGTCGTTGAAGGACAACTTATTGTCAAAAATTACTCCAAGATCGTTAATTAGAAAAACACGATCTAAGACGTTATTCCAAAGAGAGTACGAAACGATGTGAGGCACTCTGCGATTGAACGTCATAACCTTACACTTAGAGCAGTTAAGCAAAAGGAGATTGTTTGAGCACCACATGAAGACTTCGTTAAGGTCTAGTTGCAGGTGTCTATGAAGGAAATCGTCTGAGAAAGAAAGACATAACTTGACATCATCAGCATACATAAATGTAGTAGCATAGTTCACAACACTAGGTAAATCGATGACAAAAAGAACAAACAGAAGAGGTCCTAAGTGACTACCTTGTGGGACACCAGATGAAACATTTATAATCTGTGATGAAGTGTTTTTAAACAAAACACGCTGCGTGCGGTTCGATAGATAAGAGGTCAACCACTGTACTATATGTGGAGAAAACCCCAAAAGACACAGGAGGAGATGGTGGTTCACAGAGTCAAACGCTTTACTAAAGTTAGTGTACACCACATCAGTTTGCATGCGGCTCAGAAAACCTCTGTGGATAAACGAAGTGAATTCAAGAAGGTTAGTTGTGGTAGAGCAATGCTTGACAAAACCATGCTGTGAAGTGGAAATAATGCTTTTACAAAAATGTTGCAGTTGGAAAGTAACCAGTTTCTCAAGCAGTTTGGGAATCGCAGATAGCTTAGCAATCCCCCGGTAGTTCTCAATAAGTGCTTTAGAGCCTTTCTTATGAAGCGGAATAATAAAAGATTCATTCCATCTCTTGGGAAGACATGCCAGCTCCAAGGACAAGTTGAATAAGGTAGTGAGAGGATAGCAAAGGATATCAGAACAGTACCTTAGAACACAGCTAGGAACATTGTCAGGACCAGCAGAGAATGATATATCTATTGTTGAAAGAGCTTCGAACAGATCCTGAATTCGAAATTTTGAAAAGTAAATGTTGTTAATATGTGGTAATTTATAAGGATAAGAAGAATTGTGGTTATATGAATCGGACGAATAGGTGGTTTGAAAAAATGACGCAAAGAGATTAGCAACACATTGCTCAGAAGAATGTGAAATATTTTTATATGATAGGGAAGGAGGAAAAAGATTTGATTTACGTTTCATATTGACAAAAGAGTTGAAGGAGCTTGGATCGTTTCGAAAGTTTACCTTACAATTCCTGATATACTGCTTATAGAGTTGATCGTTGAGAATAATAAACTGGTTGCGAACATAAAGAAAGTTTGACTGGTGGCACATCGATCCTGACTTAAGAAACTTTTTGTAAGCTCTGGATTTCCTGTTCTTAAGAAACAACTTTCTCGTTTATTATACCAAGGTGTTTATTATACCAAATTTGTTCAAGGCATTATGAATTATTTCGTAAAACGAATACGTAGCTGCTTCAATTGTGTTTATAGATGAAAGAAAATTCCAATCGATTTCAGCTAAATGATTCCGAAGGGCCATAAAATCAGTCTTTCTGAAGCATTTG